GACCATCATGATGATAATCTAAGTTGGAGAGGAAACATGTACATAACCTGAAAAAGCCAATATAACTTGACCTCAAAACCCCCTTGGCTGAGACTGCTTCATCTCTAAAGTCAAAAGGAAGGAAATATACATAACTCACTGAGCATTTCCTCTTTGCCAGACACGTTGCTGGGCACCGAGCCCTACTCTGACCTAGCTCTGGTGCACCTTTCCAGTCTCATTTTATACCGCTCTCCCCTTTCTCCACTATTTTCTATCAGGTCCTAGAACATGTTAAACTCTTTCTGCCTTGGGTCCACTGTCTTTGTTATTTCCTTCATCTGGAAATCCTAAATGCCACATCCTCAGAGAATATTCATCAAGCAATCTGACCTAAAACAGGAGCACTTGTCATTTCTTTCCATAGCACTTATAATTCATAAATATGTATTTATATATCTGTTTGTTTGTCCTCTGTATCTCCCACTAGACTATAAGTTCTATGAGGGCAGGGACTATATATCTTCCTAGCTCACCACCACATCCCCAAGCACACTACATGAAGTATAGCAAATGCTCAATAAATATCTGTTGAACAAATAAAATAAATTTTTGCAATAATAACTCATTCAATATTTGTAACAACATTGTGAAATATTACCTACATCTTAAGGAAGAGAAAAGTAAGGCTCATAAAGGTGGCATATCTTGCCTAAAATCACTATATAACTAGAAAGCAGACTTCTGATTCAAACTCAGGTCTTTCTGATCACAGAACTCTTTATATTAAATAATATCATATTCCTATGGTGAATGCTTACCCACTCAAAAAATAAAAAACCTTAAAAGGAGAAATGTTATTTGTAACAAAATTTCCTCCTTACCACATTCCTCAAGTTAATAAGAATTCAAAGGAAATGATCATTCCACTGGGTGCAAGTGTATTAATTTTTAAAATTCTTTTCCATTTATATGACAATCATCAATAGCAACCATACCAACAGAATTTGAGTATTTGCTAAGCATCTCTATGTAATCAAATATATAATAAATTCTATATTTTAAATATTTTTTTCAATCAACTAGGAATTGTTAACATTTGGAGATGCAGTAACCAGGGTATCGTGAAAATGTCTAAAAGCATACAAGACCAGGATTCTGACCAAACTCTAGTTGTTAACAGGTTTCATCAGATTTTAATTCTAAAGTAAGGTTAAATCATGAAACAGATTTCAAAGTCTGCAAATACAGGTGATAAGTTAAATGTCACTAGACCCATATAGTGGAATACTGTGCAGCTAGGAAAATTATGCATTAGAAAAATATTTGATGATAAGTTTTGGAAAAAAAACATATAGTGATTCAGCTTATGATACCAATTTTACAATATATGTATCTGTGTGTATGCAGGATAAAATGATTTGAAGGATACACACCAACATCTAACCATTGGTTATCCCTCATTTGAGGGATTAAGGGTGGTTATTCTTTATTATTTTTATGTCTTTTTCTATTTGTACTAATTCTTCTATAATAGTTTAGCTTTCCTAACCAGTGAATTTTATAGCCAGAAAAATGAGATTAATTCAAAAGAAATACATTTTTATTTTTGAAACATCTGTGAGGTATCCATGTATGTGGCTATGGATATACATAAAATCTCAAACTGTCAGTTTAAGCTTTCAGTCCCCGTGGCTTTCACTGATCTTTGAACAGAATTAACCAGTTGTTTGGCTGTCATGGTGATACATCCTGGAGTACTTTTAGAAGCCATTACTCAGTTGGTAACAAGAAGCGTTTTGGCTCATGGCTCCAAGACAAGTTCAGGGTTTCTTGGCTACAAGGACCAATTAGATTGAGAAAAGTTTTCTTTAACTCTGATAATCAGTTATACTGACAGGACCAACATTTGTCAGATAGTTTCTGTAATTAAGGGACCGTAATACACAATTCCATTAAAATATTTTATGGCATAAAAAGTATTATATGTTAATTTGAATGTTTACTACATATTTCATCACACTTGCACTCACCACCACCACAAGTTAAAAATGCATACGCCAACCTTCAGCCCAGGGTGACGTCTAAGGTAGAGTTATGAACCCCAACTGAAATAGTGGGGTTGTAATGGAAATGCTGACAACCTTAACTATAGCGGCATGAACAACACTGACTATAATAAAATCCTTGTTCAGATATAACTCACATAAAAAGTAAAAGCCAAGGGCTGTGAGCAGCTCAGTACATTTAAGCCGTTTTTCAACACATTCGAAATCCATATACTCCTGTATTCCTTTCAAAGCAATACCTGATGCCTTCTCAGACTTCTGGGTTTTGTTTCTAAAAATCTGTATGCACTAATATCTCATATGATTCCCTGTGAAACATTTTTCCCCTTTATCTTCAGCTGGTGAGAGCGCTAAGGAAACTTTTAGGAAATAAATGTTATTTTTGTCTTGCCTTGCTTTTGCATTTTCAATATCCCAGGGAATGGACTTGTGCGGTGAATTCAGGGAGATAAAAAGCGCCCAACAAATTCTGATTTGCAAAGTCTGTTAAAGTGACTCTGCATTAAAATCGTCCGTGTAAAACCAAAGAGGAGAATATGGTTGCACAAGAGTTTAATTAGCACTTCACTGCCCCTCCACCCCTGCCCCCGGAATGTCAAAGGAGTGGTTTCTCTTTTCTTTCATGCTAATAATGATGATGATAATAATAATAATTTAAAAAAGCAGAGGAAATCAATTACATGAGTCAAAAAGCTCTGGCAAAAGCAGAAGTGACAGTCACTGTTTATTTTTTAATTAAGGTGTTACAGTACTCTGAGCACTCACAGCTGCAAGCAGACCACACACTGGGATAGCTGGCCAGAAGCACTGTCAAAGGGAACACTGACAAGCGACAGCCTTGCTGCTCTTGTCTGTAGATAATCCCTCAAGTCTAGCTGGCACGAACGTTGAGTTTAAGAATCTGGAGAACGACCGAGGATTGATTTAGCTCATATTAACAATTTCTAGCAGAATTCAGAAACTACTTATGGCAGAGCTCTTTGATTTCTCCAATCTCGGATAGTTGCTTATAATTTAAACATTGTAACACTGCAATGCGAGTATGGTCCTAAACATTATCCTGCAAGTAGCCTCATTAATCACAATCATTTCCCATTGTTTTAACACTGTGGAAGACCACAGTAAGGCACAGAATGAAGATGATTAAATGATTCTGGTTGTTAGAGAGACAAGAGAAAAAAAAAAGGCTGTTTATAGGTATGTATTTCTTTTCTTATATAAGAAATTGAGAATGTGATTTACTTCATCTAAGACTGTGTTTAGAGAGAGGCGATTCTGCCATGATTGAAACCCACAGCAAATTAAATTATATTTTGTAAAATATTTGAACTTCCAAAGCTTTTAACATCACAGTAAGGCTCAGCATATACTTTTACTACTTTAAATGGCAGTAAATCTTAATGAAAGAATTAGTTTTAAGACTAGAAATACAGCTAAAACACAAAATGCAAATATGCTAATTGTTTGATCCTGCTATACACTTGTTCTGAAATGTGATCAGACAGAATAAATACTTCTTTTCTTTATAAGTCCTTCCAAACTTAATTGATGACACTGAATCTGAAATTACAGCTAACACGAGAACTTTTATTTTAGTTTGGTTTTTTTTTGGCGGGGGCGTAGTAATTAGGTTTTATTTATTTACTTTCTTAATGGAGGGACTAGGGATTGAACCCACAACTCAGTATATGCTAAGCACACACTCTAACACTGAGCTCTACCCTCCCCTCTTCTTTGGAGTGTTAGTGGTATGACGCTGCTGATGCTAGAAGTGAAATCCATTCAGGGGATCATGTATGTTTAAAAAAAAACTGATGTGTGTAATTTCAAATTTTTACATATGTTGTTTGGATAATATCTTCGCAGAAATATTATTTTAACTGTTTCTGCAATCTGTCTCCGCATTATTCGATTCTTCGTCTACTGCTCATGTCGCATTCCAAATCCAATAGATTTTTAAGTCCTGCATTTTTTCTAAAATCTTTCCTTTCTAGGCTCACTACTATGGCTCCTTAGCTACTGAAAAGAGAGATTTCAGATCATGGAGGACGTGATATTATTATAAGATTTGACTGCAGAATGAAAGAGCTGAAATTATGTTTGTAAATCATTTTTTAAAAATCCTCAAGGCTAAGAACTATGTTTCTTTCTGGGTATTAATTCCATGTCTATTAGTTTACTTCTTAAAGATATGACCACCTGGAGACTGCAGTAACCTACACTGCTGTTTTGGCAAAACATTCACTAAGAGAGAAAAATTAAAATGTCACTGATCACATTTGTATAATCCTCTCTAGGAGAAGACAATATAAACCAGATAACACTTCTAGTGCCAGATCAAATGTAACTCAAGATTAGTTAGTTGGTTTTCTACATGCAGATAGAGTTTACTAGGCACATACTTGAATTTCACTTTCCCGGTCTTTCTTTTGGTAAACAGTATTTCTCAAGTAAAGCAGTTAGCTGGGCTGCCGTTTGGCTTACAGTTTTCAAGAAGAACAAAGGGCTATCTTCGCTGTTAGCAATGCACATAATTTGCACCCCACCACATGGCAATGGTGTCAGGCCTTGGAAGATGTTACTCTCATCTTTACCACAAACCCTTGCTTACTATCTACTTGATCTGTACCTGGGTTTAAACTGCATCCATTTCCTGAAATTACCTGCCTGCTTTAATTCCCAGAATGATTATATTTCAGTGAATGCAAATATAATAAAAACACAGACACACACATCAGTTTTCCCTTTTAAAAAAGCTGCTGGTTACAAGTAGGTATTTTGAGTAAGTGTTGAAGAGATTTTTAATATTTAAAAATATGGTGAGGAGTTGAAACCACACAATTCTTAGAAGAAAAGACGAGAAAAGCTCCTTGACATTGGTCTTGGTGGTAATTTTTTAGATTTGATACCAAAAGCACAGGCAACAACCACAACAACAAAAATAAACAAGCAGTGCTCGCTGCAGTAGCACATAGACTAAAATTGGAAGGATACAGAGAAGACTAGCATGGTCCCTGTGCAAGGATGACAAGCAAATTGCTGAAGCATTCTTTATTTTCGGTTGGGGGGGAGTGGGAGGGGCGGGATAAAATAGGAGTTTGGGATCTGCAGATACTAATTACTATATATAAAACAGATAAACAACAAGAACCTACTGTACAGCACAGGGAACTGTATTCAATATATTAATCTACGAATAACTTAACAATAGCCAATAACAGAAAGGAATAGGAAAAAGAATATATATGTATAACTGAATCACTATGTTGTACACTGTAAACTAATACAACATTGTAAACCAACTACAATTAAAAAACTAAAAATAAATAAGTAAATAAACAAGCAGAATTACATTAAAACTAAAAAGCTTCTGCACAGGAAACAATCAACAAAATGAAAAGGCAACTCACAAAATAGGAAAAAGTGTAAGTGATGTGCCTGATAAGGGGTTCATATTTAAAATATATAAGGAACTCATATAATAGCAAAAAAACCAAACAACCCAATTAAAAAATGGGCAAAGGAATGAAAAGACATTTTTCCAAAAAAGACACGCCAATAGCCAATAGGTATGTAAAAAGGTGATCAACATCGGTAATCATCAGGGAAATACAAAGCAAAACCACGATGAGATTATCACCTTATACCTGCTAGGATGAGTATTATAAAGAAGTCAAAAGATAGCAGGTGTTGGCAAGGATGTGAAGAAAGGGGAACTCTTGTACACTGTTGGTGGGAATGTAAATTGGTACAGCTACTGTGGAAAGACAGTATGGAGGTTCCTCAAAAAATTTTAAAAATAACTACTATAGGATCCACTAATCCCACTTCTGGGTATATATCCAAAGGACATGAAATCAGTATCTTATAGAGAATATCTGCACCCCTGTGTTCACTGCAGCATTATTCACAGCAGGCAAGACATGGAAACAACCTAAGTGTCCACTGACAGCTGAATGTGTAAATTGTGTACGTATACACACACACGCACACACACACGCTCTCTCTTTAGTGCTATGACCTCAATTATTTTTCATTTCACATATAAGTGATATCTGTCTGTCTGGCTGGCTTTTTAACTCCCAGGTTCACCCACGTTGTTGCAAATGGCAAGATTTCCTTCTCTTGTAAGGCTGAATAATATTCCATTTTTAGTTGTATGTGAAATGAAAGAAAAATTGAATTCATGGTATCAGAGAATAGATTGACGGTTATCAGAGGCTAGGGGGTGAGAAAAGGTTGGGGAAAGGGGGAGATTTTGATCAAAGGGTACAAACTTCCAGTTGTAAGATGAATAAGCTCTGGAGACCTACTACACAGTATGGTGACTATAGTTAACAATAACGTATACTCAAAATTTGCTAAAAGAGTGGATCTCAAGTGTTCTCACCACACACACACAAACAGTAACTATGTGAGATTATGGATTGTTAATTAGTGCAATTATGGTATTCACTTCACAATACATCAAATTATCAAAACATCACATTGTACAACATAAATATACACAATTTTTATTTGTTCATCAGACCTCAATAAAAAAATACAGTGAAGAACACATGGTGGTGAAGTCTTAAAGCCACAAAAATGGTCTCCATTTTCCTCAAGCATTTTTGCTAAGAATTTCAATATGCTCAGAGCTCTGATTAGAAGATACAGGAATCAACGATTTACAAAATAAATAAAACTAATCATACATGTTGAAAAACACAAGACTTTCTAGGTGATAAATCTTATTGCATTTGCAGATCCTCTAAACCCCAGAACACCGCATACTATTTCATGTGTGTTAATCTCCAAATAATTACCTACAATCGTCCCCTGGTATACATGGCATGATTCCAGGATCCCCCACAGATACCAAAATCCATGGATGCTCAAGTCCCTTACATAAAATGGCATAGTACAGTCAGCCTTCATACCCATGGGCTCTACATCTGCAGATTCAACCAGCCGCAGACTGAAATTCATTGACTATGCAGATGTAGAACCCATGGATTCTGAGGGCCAATTGTACGGAGTTTTGTGATGAACAAGAGTTTATCAGGGCTCATACATATCTACGTGTGCATGCGTGTGTGTGTGTGTGTGATTTTCTGCATGTGTGTATGTGACTACATTAGTAATTTTTTTCTTTAAACCAAAGGCTCCTTCATAGATAATACAAATGATACATTATGTGCAGAACAGAACAACATCTGGTGCACTGGTTTAATAGAGCATATCTGAAAGTTGTACTTATCATTATTCTTTTACAGTTTCAATCAAATTAAATTATTTTACATGCTGGAAATTCCTAAGGCACTTTAATGCCACTTAAACAGGTGTCCTTCTAATTCACTCAAAAATACCCTATCGTTACATGGGATCCCTAGTCTCAGGGTTCAATATTTCAGCCTCTTCTCTCTACTCCCACTCTCCTGGTGATCTTACCCACTCACATGGATTTAAATACTATCTATGTGCTGATCGCTTTCAAATGTCAATCTCTAGCCCCAATATCTCCCTGAACTCCAGGCTCTCATATCCAACTGCCTACCGGACGATTCTATTTTGATATCTAATAGGTATCTAAAACTTATTACGACCCAAACTGAACTCCGGATATTTGCAACTTCCAAACCTGGTCCTTCTACAGTCAGTCTTCCCCATTTCAACTGATGGCAAATCCATCTTTTTTCATTTGCTCTGGTTGCAATGTTTGGAGTCACTGCTGAAGATTCATACTGTCCTACTCCTCATCCTATTTATAAAAAAATTCAGATGGCTTAATCTTTAGAAAAATAATAAGTCTACACTTCTCATAAGCTCCACCACTGACACTCTAATTGATGCCTAACATCCTTCCTCACTTGATCAACTTCAATGATCTGATCGCTCACTCCTCTTGCCATATTGCGATCCAGTTCTCCACTTGGCAGCCGGAATGATTCCTTTAAACATAAGTCAGATCTCATTACTCCCACAGTCTCAACCTGCTAATAGTTTTTCATCCAACTCTAAATAAAAGCCCAAGTCCATTCCAGGGCCTACAAGGTCATATACACACTTGCCTGTGGCCACACCTCCAATCTCTTTCCCTATCACTCTCCCCTCACTCACTGCCTCCCCTACTCTCCCTCAAATACATTATGCACTTAGAAGACTCATGGACTTCTGTACTTGCTCTTTCCATTGCGTGCACGGTCCTTGACTGAGATATAAATATGGCTTGCTGCTTCAGTTTAATCAAATTGCTGGCCAAAGGTCACCTCCACAAGGATGCCTCCCTGACCACTATATGTAATACTATAGCACCCTCTGTCACTCTCTATTCTCTTACCTTGCTTTATTTTTCTTCATAACACTCATTGACTGAATGGAATTATACTGTATATTTCTCTGTTTCTCCCATGAAAATGAGACCATTCACTACTAGTGCCCAAAGGTTCAGAATGGGGCTAGGCACGTGATCAGTGCTCAATAATTATTTGTTCAGGAAATGAGTGAATAAATGAATGAACTGTATGACAAGTTATATCTGAAAATTATTTCATGATTATAAACAGAAATATATAGTCAATGCTCTTTATTCATGGATTCCATATTTGTGAATTTGCCTACTTGCAGAAATTTATCTGTAACTCCAATCAATACTTGCAATGACTGTGCGGTCATTCACAGAAATGCACACGTAGAGAGCAGTGAAAAATTTGAGTTGTCTAAGGTGCACATTTCCAGCCGAGGTTCAACAAGGTGACATTCTGCCTTCTTGTTTCAGCTCACATAGTGAAAACAAGTGTCCTTCTGCAATCTATTCAGTGCCACGTTTTTCTATTTTTGTGCTTTTTTGGGGGTTTGGTTTTTAAAATGACCCCCAAACACAGTGTTGAAGTGCTGTCTAATGTTCCCAAGTGCAAGAAGGCTGCAATGCGCCTTACAGAGAAAATACATGTGTTAAATAGGTTTCATTCAGGCATGAGTTATAGTGCTGTTGCCTGTGAGTTTAATGTTCATGAATCAACTATATACATTAAATAAGGTATCTTTAAACATAAACACATTAACAAGGTTATGTATTGACCGCTTGATGAAAATGGTATGACCAGAGGCTCACAGGAATCTAACTCTGTATTTCCCGTAGGAGCAATGATGCAGTGTTCACTAATTCAGTGTTTGTGATGACTTTACAGAACATAACAAAAGCAAATAATAAAAATCAACTGTATATACTGAAGAGAAAATACAGAAAAGACAAAAATATTACTGACAGCAAATATTGCCATTAAGTCTGTTAAGTATATTATGATTAATAATATTTGGATCTTATTATATATTATTTTATTTAAATTTACTATATTATTTGTATTCACCATGTCATTAAAGTTCATTGAATGCTTGATTTGATTCAAAATATATCACATTATGTGTATATTCTATGATTCATTTTATTACTTCTCTTAATTCTTAGCTCTTTGGGATACTTTCAGTTAGTCACTGTTATAAATAATGTTACAAATGAAATTCTTGTGCATAAATCTTGGTACCCATTTCCGATCATCTTCTTTGGGCAAATTAAATATTTGCAATTAGTTTAAGGCTCTTGATACATTTTGCTTTCTGAAAAGTTGAAGTCATCTTGATCTTGGACCATTAATGCAAAAGTATCTCCCCTATACCACCTATGTCAGCACTGAGTATATGACAGTTTGTTTTTAATCTTTGTCAGTTCAATAGCTGAAAACTTGTAAATGATTATTTTATGTGCCTTTCTTCCATTACTTATGAGGTCGAACACTGTTGGTATGTTTGTCTTCTGAGATGGATGGCACATGTATTAGAATCGTTTCCAATGAGTTTCTAAGTTGGACTACCAGCTGAGGTCATTAATAGACGTGTATGAGATAATTCATTTTCTTTGGAAGAACTCCTATTCAGTGTGGTTTCTAATCATAAAAGATAAATGAATAAACTGCCAAGTTAATTTAACGTATGCCCAAACTTCCACGGAATAGATAACTGAAGAAAAGTGACATATTTAAAACAAGGGATACGAATGTGCAACTCAGGGTCTGCAAGT